CGTGTGTCGCCCAGGATGTAAGGGGCATGCTGACTTGACGTCATCCTCACCTTCCTCCGGATTATCACCGGCAGTCTCTCTAGAGTTCCATAATGGCAACTAGAAACGAGGGTTGTGCTCGTTGTGGGATTTAACCCAACATCTCACGACACGAGCTGACGACAGCCATGCACCACCTTTTTAATTTTTCTCTGGAAGTGGTGACGGGAGTACATGAGCGACACTATTTCCGGTGCTCAGTTTTCTTCCCACACTTTCCTCCTTGCTCCGAACCCACCCTGTCCCTTCGTGGTGCTATCCCACACTTTCCTGCCGGCGGCCAATGCCCGTGCTTCAACATAAAACCCCATCCCCGTCACCTCGCGCCTTCTCGCTTCCGGCTACATGCTGCGCCTGCAAACAAGGGCCATTTTCAGGCCCTGTGTCGTTCAGTCTGAAAGCCTGAAAACAAGGGCCTACAGGCCCTGTGTCGTTCAGCCTGAAAGCCTGAAAACAAGGGCCTACAGGCCCTGTGTCGTTTCAGCCTGAAAGCCTGAAAACAAGGGCCTACAGGCCCTGTGTCGTTTCAGCCGAAAAAAGGGCCCTCCAGGCCCTGAGTCTTTTCAGCCTGAAACGGAGGGCCATTTTCAGGCCCTCATAAGATCGATCTGCCTGAAACTTAGGCACCAGACCAGGGTTTTAGCACAGGCCATTTTGGGCCTTTTTTCAAGACAAACTTTGTTGAACTTCAACGCCAGGGTCTGGCACGTTTTGGCATTGGCAAGAGCAGCCTCCTGGACGGGCCACCACTAGATAAGACTGGCCCGCCCTGCAGGCTGCAGGTAGTTCATAGGGACTTCCCAGGCACTTCACGGGCAGGAGGCAGGAGGCAGTCTTAAGGATTCGGCAGCAGCACTGTGGAGGAGCGCTGCAGTAGTAGTGGCATTAGGAGTAGTCTTCAGCGCTGGGCGCTAGACTTACCTGTGGCGCCATAGCTCCAGCTTCGTCTTCGATGTACCTGCAACAAGGCCCCACCTTCACAGGTTAGTACCGGACTGAGAGAGAGAGAGAGAGAGTTCTTCTTCGTCCTCTTCTAAGTCTACCCTCTCTCCCTCATCCTCTCGCTACCTGACTTCTCAGTATCTGCAGACTACAAGAGGGAGAGAGATTGGTGACTTCGGGACTTGACGGCATTTGGATTCAGACTCGACATTGGGATTGAGACATTGAACGAGGGATTATTTGGAACCTGTACCGAAGACTTGGTGTTGATGACATTCCCATCTTCCCCCTCTTCTTCGTCTGATCCCCTCCTCTTCGTCTGTGTATGGTCCGGACCTGGCGCATTCTTCCTGTGTGTAGCGCCAGGCCCTTCACACCCTGCAACGATGATGATGTATGTTGTGTCTGCATTGCGGCATTGACTGAGTTGATCATTGGTATCTTAGCATTCCGCTGCGCTGTCTTGTACTATGTGAGAGAGGTCGGTCCTTGTTCTGGTTTGCACCATTACGGTATGCAACAGTTTGGTATCACCTCCTCCTCTCACATGGGTGATGTATAATGGGATGCCATGTCAGTCCCGGTCAAGTCAGGACTTGTATCCGAGTCTTCCACTGCGCTACAAAGTGCCATTTTGTATTTCCTAATGGCATCGGACTATATCTTCAACCAGAGAGATAGAATGGTTGCTGGGCATATAGCCTCTGAGGATCCTACTCGTTGTAATCAACGATTCCAAATATTCAACGTCATGACAATTGAATTACAACTTTGGTTTCCTGCTGATTGCCCCGAATCTTGGATTGTTCCTCAGTGTGAGAATTCGGAGGACCAAGATTCATAGGGGTTCCCAGCAAATAGCCCAGTGGTAAGAGACAACTTTTTTCCCCCCTTAAGTGGGGCCTCACTGTAGTTGCTACAAGGTAGTGAATACAAGGCCCGGGGGATATTTTCCCATGAAGATGATAGTTTGTAGCTTATGTACAATGCTTGCGGCTTGGAGATGTTGCCTGGCGAGTAAATCGTTTTGCACAACCTTGCTCTTGTTATGCCCCCTCCTTCGTGTTGCCGCTGAGAGTGCCTTCACTTGATGCTGATGTCGAGAAAGAAGAAAGTAATTCGTATGCAAGGGGTTTTGCAGTATCATGCGACTCCATCTCGATTCAGGCTCATGTTCTGTTCATCAACAGTTACATGTGTGTACCATTGGGCTGCTAGAAGCGACCATTGATTGGGTGCATTGTGCTGGTAGAAGCTAGCATTGATTGCGTGCATTAGGCTGTAGAAGCTAGCGTTGATTGTGCACATTGGGCTGGTAGAAGTGAGCATTGATTACCCTTTTTTTTCTTCGAATAAAAGTTTTGGTTTGGCAGAGTCTACATACTGTGCAATGTCTCTGCAATGATTATCTATGACCCTTGCCCACACCAGGATTATTGCCCCGAAAAAGAATCCTTGTTATGAATCAGGTCTGTGTCTGGTTAGGACAATTGCTGGTCTGATTGTTGTGAACTGTGTTGTTTTGTGTTGCCTTGTCATTGTGAGATCAGTCGTTCGCATTCTGTGTTCTCCATTACTATTCACATCAAGGAATCAACACCGGAAGGGGAAGAGCTGATTAAATGTGGAAAGCTTAACCTTGTTGACCTGGCTGGCTCAGAGAATATTTCACGCTCTGGCGCAAGAGATGTAAGTGGCGTGTGATGTGAGCTCATTCCTTCCTCTCCTCCTTGCACCCCTCCAATTTACCCAGGTCATCAGGCAGACTCCTGTGGGAGAGGGAATCCTGTGCTGGCCCCTAATCATTCCCTCCGGCAATCGCAAAGACAGATGGATAGATGATGGTTATGCGGGGGTTTTCCTATGTTTTTCCCTATTAGACTCAGTTGGGCTGTGTTGCAGCACTGTCAAACAAGTGTTATGATTGGTGGAAATCAGGATCGCATGGACTTCCCCTGGTAACTTAGTTATCTTGCCGAATTGTTTGACCCCTACATGTTCAGCTTGTGAAGCGGGATCACCACCTTTCGTGAGCCTCCTATGTTCAGCAAATAATCATTGTTCTTACATGCTGTCGTACCGGAACGGGAAAGAGAAGTTACACGGAGATCGGTCTTATGCAAGAACTAAATGTCTTGCTTCCTTTTTTAAAGTAGGTGTAAAAATGCAGTATCTGTGTTTGGCTATCAGGATATTTTTTGCTTGCACTGCGTATTTGCTCGACCAGTGGTCTTCATCGTCTTGAATTGGGATACAAAATTGAAACGACTGATTGCCAACCGCAATTTTCATGAATGCCAGGGAAGAGCACGCGAGGCGGGTGAGATTAACAAGAGCTTGCTAACACTAGGCCGTGTGATTACGGCATTGGTGGAGCATCTCGGACATATTCCTTACAGGTATGCACAGCTGTGCCCACTTCTGTTTTGTCTGTTCCTCCAAAATTTTCTTACTAGCTGTCTGGATAATGTTTGCCTGCTGGTTTGTTTCTTGCCTGAAGAAGTGTGGAAGCTCTTACTGTTAGTTGGGCGATGTATGCGTGGTGATCTATATGTTCACAGGGACAGCAAGCTCACGAGGCTGCTGCGAGACTCACTAGGTGGAAGAACAAAGACGTGCATCATTGCTACTGTTTCTCCTACAGTACAGTGCTTGGAAGAGACTTTAAGCACGCTGGACTATGCTCATCGAGCGAAGAACATAAAGAACAAGCCAGAGGTAACTCTCAATTGATGGTGTCTTTTGATTTTGGTTGCTCGGACTTCCCTTCGTTCGGACAGGCTTGAGTTGTACTTGGATGTGTACTGTACTTACTCATCCTGAGACATGGTGAATCCTCACATGATTTGTTATATACGATTGATTTGTTGAGGTAGAGGTGTGTGAGGTGTCCTGACTGTGTGAAGTGAAAAGCCATTACGAGTACAATGGTGATGGGAGAGCTTAGTACTGGTATGCTAGTGCAGAATATAATAGGGGTTAGAGAACTAAGCCTGGACTCCACTTGACAGCTGGTGGGTCTAGGTTCGACATCTAACGGCCCTTTTACAGAGCCGAGAGCCGAGTCTTACCACTTGGTATGGCCTGTTATATCTGTCATTAAAGATCAAGACGTCGTGCTGTCGTGCCCAAATCATAGACTAGTTTTGCTCTTGGTGGTTGTCGTTGGATGGTAGTCTCCAGACTGTGGGCATTGAAAAGCCATTACCAGTAAGTTTGGTGATGAGAAGGGAAATTGGTCCTCATGTACAAGTGCAGAATATAACAGGCGGTAGAGAATTACGGCTGGACCCCACTGGACTACTTTTGGGTCTAGGTTCGGACACCTAATGGCCTTTTGCAGAGCCAAGTCTTACAAGATTGTGTGGCCCGCCAGATCTGTCCACAAAGGTCTAGATGTAGTCCTGTGGGGCCTAAATGCAGGACTAGTTTTGCGGTTGATGGTGGCCGTGATGGTTATGCTTCTTCGACAATATTTTTGGGCTGGGTTTGAATTGACTTGATTAGTTGATCGCTTGCAGGTAAATCAGAAGATGACGAAGAGTGCTCTGATTAAAGACATGAACTCAGAGATTGACCGGCTTAAATCAGGTAAGCGTGCTTGATCTGGATGGAAGGGCCAACAAGCAACTTGAATGAGTTGTCATGGAGTAGGCAACATTTTGTTCTAGTGCGTATGTAAATCTGGATCTAGTGTCCAGATCATAATTTTAAATGGGCCTCAATGTCGGTGAAGGAAGGCTGGCAAAATGCACTGGACGTAATGATTCGTTAATCGGCCCTTGTCCTAGTAGCTCAGTATTTCGACAACCTCGGGTTGTGTTCGGAGGTTATGGGCTCGGCTCAGAGAACATCTCAAAGTCACCCTTCTTAGAATATCCATCGTAGACCTAGTTGGCCCTGCTAGTAGGGGAGTCTCGACAGTGCGGGTAGTTGTGCTCTGACATGATCAAGCTGAATTAAAGATGGTCCAGCCCTAAAATTGATGATAATATCCTGTGTGGTCTGACTAATCGGCTATTCGTTTTACGTGTTGACAGAGTTGTATGCATGCCGTGAGAGGAATGGCGTTTACATACCAAAAGACCGTTACTTCCAGGAGGAGGCAGAGAGAAAGGTACGCATTGCATTCGGGCTCAATGAGTCCTCCTGAACTGTATCTTCTATTTATGTAAACAACAGACCACCTAGTTTTTGATAATGGGATTCTTCTGGATCAGCTGCTTGCCTTGCATCTGTAGTTAAATCTAGGTTGTTTTATCGGACGTCCGGGACCCCCCCTGACCGTCCGGTATGTCGGACCAGATGTCTGGTCGGACGTCAGACCGGACAGGGGATGTCCGACCTAGCGTTAAAAAAAAATAAAAATAAAAAAAATCATGTGGCTTATACCTTGCATAAGGTGTATGCCACCAAAATTTTGGCTCATTTGAGCCAGTAGAAAAAAAGATAAAAATCTTCAAAGATTCTAATCCCCACCTTCACCCCTCCTATCCCCACCAAAACCCCTTGTATCCCCCCCTCCCACCCCAAATAGCACCCTATCACCAAATGCTCAGAAAATTCTGAATTTTTTTATGGGGGGTCTCTATGGCATGCGCAACACTGTCATTTTTATTTTATTTTATTTTTTTAAGTGCCAAAAAGTCGTCGTCCGGAAATCCGGACGACGGGAGTACCTTACGTCCGGGGAGACATCCGGGGGAGACGTCCGATCTCCGGACCATTGATAACATAGAGGTAAATGCCAAACGCAAAGCTCAAGAATGATTGAAGTTGCAGGATAAGACTTATGTGATGTATGACATATTGTCAGTTCGTGTCACGGGTTAATGTCAAATGCACGGCCCAAGGGAGACTGAAGTTTCAGGATAAGACGTGTGATGTATAACATTTTGTCAGTTCATGTCACAACTTGTCCCCTCTTGGATCAGCTTAGCATGGCCCCTGTGGAAGGATGACATGTGTGTGGACAAATCGACTGATTAAAAAGGAAATAAGAAGAAACATTGTGCAACGTTTGGCATTTAACTTAGGCGTACTGGCAGTGTTAGTCAATGAGATTAGTCACACTCAAAAACAAATATTATTGTTGTTGGTCTGATGAACATGCCTATCAGGAAGAGGAACCATTATTTGCCACCATAATTGTTTGACCTAGGCAACTAAGAGAATGGGGTTTGGGATTGCAATGTATGTTTCAGGGAAATCACGCAGTGAAAATTTTAGTGGACCTGATGAGGGCGCTACCTCAAAGCTTTCCAAGACTGGTGGTTGTGTGTGACACTCGAACGGAGGTGAAATGCTGCTTTCTTGAATAGAGGAAGACTCAAAATTATCCGATTGTTTTTTCGTTTATGAAAATGCAGGCAATGTCTGACAGGATTGAACAGATGGAGTTTGAGCTTGAGAACAAAGACAAGGTGGGTACGCAACTTCACAAAGTAAATGTAGGTGAGCTTTGGTTCGCTGCAGCTGCAATATGATCTGCTGTTTGCTTTGTGTTGACTTTGGAATTCTCCCTCATGCCTCATCGTACTTAACGTTACACTGTGTCTCTTTATGTTGAACACTGTGGACGCTTCTCAGACTATTGAGGATCTTCAGGAGGCGTTTGATGCATTGAGGAGACAGCATGATGGCTTGACTGCAAAGAATGACAACACTGAGGTGTGTGTATAAACTCTGGGGGCATGGTGTGTGTGATGTAGGACCTTTCAGCCATGGAGGATTCCAGATCTCAGATCTTGTTTTGCTGAAGTATATCATGTTAGCCAGTGATGCAGTAGGCATGGAAAAGTGAAAAAGAGAATAGATGGCAGCGTCCAAATATTCATTGAAGAAATCTCAAATGTTGCACTGTATTTGGCATATTGTTCTTCATGAATGAGTTTACGTTTTCTGTTCTGTGCTGCTGAAGTTAGAAAACAAGGAAATGACAAGTTGTATGTATGAGAGATGGGGGAGTAAGATGGGAGGCAGGGGACTGAGGGGAGAGGGGAGGAGCGGGGAACGGGACTCAGATTTCAGGAAGAGGGAAGAAAGGGGGAGGATTCCGAAGTTCACATCTTGGCGTACTGAAGTGCTCTGTGTTTGTCACTGTTTCTCTCTGCATTTGTGTGCATCTCTGTGTGGCCATGGAGAACCGAGTAAAAAGGGGTATGGCATTTTTCAAACACATTGTAGGATCCCGAATTCGCTTTAGTTGGCATAATGTTCTTTGTGCTAGGGATAGAGAGACAGAAGGAAGGGGGGGAGTTCCAATATGTGCTCTGTGTTTGTCAGTGTTTCTTTATGTATGCCTGTGTCTCTCTTTGCTTGGGCATGTAGAAGCGGGAAAAACTGGGCATCGGGGTTTCGAACCTTATTTGTGCTAGGATGTCCCAATCTCTCTTCAGAGATGTTTTTTTTTTGTGTTCTCCGAATGACACGAATTTTGTGTGAGAAATAGGAGGGGATTGGGGCAAGGGCGAAATGGGAGACAGGGGAGGGTGATGAAGATGTGTGTGTGTGTGTGTGTGTGTGTGTGTGTGTGAGAGAGAGAGAGAGAGAGAGAGAGAGAGAGAGAGAGAGAGAG